TTGCAGAACCATCTAAATGTTTAACTCGTAAATATAATTTTTGCTAAGTAAATAACACTTGCCAGAAACCGCTTCGCAATAATACGTAATCATGCACCTAATGTATAATGAAACATCTGCTCTACCTTAAGCTTTAAAAAATGCATAAATTGTAATCGGCATGCGTAATTATTTTATCTCCTTTGAAGGTTACGGCGGCAATTTGATTTTCTGTAGACGCGTGAGTTTGATTGCTGTGAATCTGAGCGTTCTTTTCTTTTGCTATTGGCGACTTTCTATTTGCCTTAACTCATAAAATTTGTTGAAATTTCTACAGTTAACTTTTCTTGGACTACTCTTTCATGGACAGCGTTCATTATTCTAGCCTATTTACTTATGAGTAATTGTCCCCGTGTTCCCATTGGTTTGGGTTCTTCATCATCGTTACCTCTACCCACAGTGTATTATTTATTTAATGCGGCCATTGTTGGGGTTGGAAAGCTTCATGCAGCTTTATATGAATCCTGCGTGCTTTTCGCTATGTTCTTGTTTTAACTGCATGTATGGCAAACTTACTTCCCAATCCAAATTATTTCGATCCATGCAGCCAGCCTTTAAAGTTTTTTTGTGGCTAGCAAAGGTAGCCATAACAATATTGCTGTGCTTTGGCATTTCAGCAGAAAATCTGTGAGAGATCTGTATCTCAAGGATGTCGATTGGTATCTTCTTCAACTGCACCAAATTTTGGTCAGAAGAGTTTTGGCTGCCACCCAAAGAAAGCTGGGCAAATGTCAGCGGCCCTCAAACCAGTGATTTTACATATGGCATTTTTGCAGCTATCATACTGTGTTTCATGCGGGTGATTCTGTATAAGTAATCCATTTTCTTACTGCCATTACCCCAAGTCTAGTTACGTATTTACGCCAATCGGTTTGCGGAATGGATTAAGGTCAACAAAGAATCATAAAGTGCCCAATATTCCGCTTCTTGAAGAGTATTATCACCTTAACAAACGGCCGCCTTTCAATGACATACGCGTAAACTTTCGATTTTCGCTCACTTTAAGGTTTAAGGCGTTGTCGAAAAAACTTGATGTTAGTGATGCCAAAGTTTCCTATTGGTTTCGAGCAAAACGCAATTCCGTGAAATTTCCTGTTATTGTAAAGTTCGCGGAATCTGGGTAAGCCTGTTCATCCGCTCATTGTTCTAAATAGTTGGAGGTTTTCGTTTTACTTTTGTTTATTTTCTTACGGAATCTACTGCTTAAACCAGGTGAGGTTTGATGAGTGTGTTACGAATCTTCTTTTAGGAACCATTTTTATACGATACCTCTGAATTCTTTCGTGCCTATCCTCACCATAAAATGAGTCGCTGTATATTTTGGTATTACATGGTCGAATTAGCATATTATGTCTCTGGGCTCATTTGGGTCTTCCTGGAGGTTAAACGAAAGGTATATTTTTGCAATCATTACCTTGAAGTCAACGTGATATTTTTCCGTTTTGCTTGATAATTCAAACATTATTTTCTTGCATATCCTGTCCTTATTTATGAGGCTTGTTTGCACCTTTAGAATTCTTTTTTTTCTAGCCCTAGATTAATGCAGGCTCTAATCCTCTGAACCCAATAAAACATGTGTAGAATCATAATTAGTCGTTTAATTAATTAACTCGTGAAAAATTACGACAGTGCATTTCGTGTTCACGGCTACCTTTGAGTGCGCACTTCTGACATCTTTAACCGTACGTAGATATTTTCACATCTACTAACCCTGATGGTATGACTTTGGCGTTTTTGCTTGGCAAATCAGCACACAAATGGTGCCAAGATGGTATGACCTGTCAAATTTTTTACACAGGTTGATTTGATTGCATGGTTCCTAGAGGGAGATTTTGTTGGTAATACGGGAAGAAATGTGGGCGTTTGTGTTTTGTTTAAAAAAGAAAGGACTGTATAGGGGCTTTGTGTTTCCTCTTCCTTAAACTGTTTAGGATTTCATTGTAATGCTGACGCATCATGTCGTCACTGTCGCATTGATCGCGTTCTCCTATCTAACAAATTACTTCCGTATCGGATCGGTTATCATGCTTCTACATGACTCTGCCGATTTTTGGCTTGAGGTAGGTCTTCACTCTTGTAAGCACCAAAATTTATGTCTGCATGTAATGTGTTTGCATGTACTGGCATTCCACTTTTTGCATGGAATTCTATTTGTTCAATCAATTGCTGTGCAGCTGTGCCAAGAATGGTCAATTTTATGTCATTGTTATTTTCCCCTTTCCTTCACATTTCATAGGCTGCAAAGATGTTTAAATATATTGGAAAATTTTGGTCTTGTATGGCGTGCTTCACAACATTCATATGTGTCTGGATTGCGACACGTCTGTACTACTACCCATTTCGGTGAGTTTTGCGCTTAACTGCATTTAACAATTGCCATAGCCTCTGTTTACTATCTGCAGTCAACACTGTGTAGGTCCTTTAACAAATGTTGGCATTTTATGTGACTGGGTGTCTTCTTCTGATCTCCATATAGGTTTAAAGTGATATGCATGGCCAGCATGAAATGCCTTTGGCCAGTCCACATTAGCGGAGTCTTGTCTTAAATCTGCCTGTACATGTATCCCACGTTTGGCCTAGCGAACCTCCACTCCAAATATCCAGGGCAGTAGGCGAAGTTTTATTCCTTCCCTAATTAAATCCACATACTCTCCCTTTAGTTGTAGTCTACGTTATAATGAATTCAGGCAAATAGTTGAACATTGTAGCTGGTGCTTTGACTGGTGCCATAGTAGTGCAATCGGTTGTGACCTCGTGTGAGCATGTTAGTGTGTGTGTGTGTGTGTATGTGCATGTCTCCGTGTCTTGTGTGGCCATTTTCTATCGCTAGGCCCTGGTTGGTAGGTAAAAAATTCCAGGATTGCTTCCTCGCTATCTCGCTCTCAACACTAACTCAGTGGCTTCAAGGGCGTAATGCCCCTAAATTCACCCGATTTTACTGAACACGTTTTGTGAGCTCAACGTGTTCTTGACTTGGGAATAAATCCCACCCCTATGGGGGTTTGGATGCGGGTCTTGAAGTGATGCGGGCTTTTGCAGTCCTCACTCTGGGTACAAGAGACGGCAATTACCCACACTTAGACACTTTCTTTTTTTCCCCTCCTCTATGTAAAACTTTTGCCTACATTATATCAAGCAAGCCTTAAACCCGTGCGATGTATGCATTCCATTGTGTGCATAACATGTCACCCAAGGAGTCACTAATGAGAGATCCTGAGTGTTTGAGAGTGACGTGTGACTTTGTGAACCAAGTGAATGGCATTGGTTAATTGATTACACCCTCATGTTTCTTAATTAAGCCTTACTCCACTTTTAGCGGTTTCATATGGTGTGCACAATCGTAGCTAAGCTCATGTAGCTGCTACCACCAAATACGACCTCATTTTACTATATATTTTTTAACATTATAGCAGGTTGTAGTAAAGGAAAACATAATTTACTTACTTCCATTTCCTTGTTTGGTTTGCTGTATTCCTCTCCACTGGGACTCACCTTCGTCTGGGTAGATTATTGCCCCTTCCTAGTGCCTATCTTGCATTCACTGGCAAATAATGTACATTGATTCGACTTCTCCAGCACGAGATTATCGTTAATTTGTGTGTATGTGTGTATGGGTGTG